GATGTTATATGCCATGTGAACAGGCCACTACAGACACGCATACCGACGTGAGTGGTCTTGCAATATGTTGAACAAAAAGTCAGACACCGACCAGGTACGGTGGCTCATGCCTGTTATTCCAGCACTTTGGGAGGCTGAGGCAGGTGAATCACCTGAGGTCAGGAGTTCGAGACTAGCCTGGCCAACATGGAAAGCTCATCTCTAATAAAAATACAAAAACTAGCCAGGCATGGATGGCAGGCACCTGTAATCCCAGCTACTAGGGAGGCTGAGGCAGGAGAATCGCTTGAACCCGAGAGGCGGAGGTTGCAGTGAGCCGAGATCACGCCACTGCACTCCAGCCTAGGCGACAGAGTGACTCTGTCATAAAAGAAAAAAAAAAAAAAAGTCGGAGACCAAAAAGTCACTGTGCAATTCCACTTTCTGCCTTTCGTTACGTATCTATTCCAATATTCCTGATCTATTTGTGGTGTGTTTTGCAGACCGTCTTTTGAACTAATGGTAGCTGCTGCCTGGTTCACTCATTATGGGTGAATGAAAATCATTAACATGTTGGTTTTATTATCTGTGTGAGAGTTCTGATTTTCCATTTCCTGGAAGTTACCTTTTAACATGGGGTTAGAGAGAGGAGGGCTGACCATTAGAATTGAGGGCAGAAATCAGTCAAGGTGAGGCCATTATTTCTGCTGCTTCGCTATCATCCCCAGGGCACAGAAAATTGATTTTAGCCTGACCATGTGAAGAAGTTACAGAAGGAAGAATGGCCATAATCAAAAAATCATAAAATAATAGATGTTGGCGTGGCTGTAAACAGGGAACACTTCTACACTGCTGGTGGGAGTGTGAACTAACACAACCACTATGGAAAACAGTGTGGAGATTCCCTAAAGAACTAAAAGTAGAACTACCATTTGATCCAGCAATCCCACTACTGGGTGTCTACCCAGAGGAAAATACGTCATTATACAAAAAAGATCCTTGCACACGCATGTTTATAGCGGCACAATTCGCAAACGCAAAAATGTGGAACCAGCCCAAATGCCCATCAATCAACGAGAGAATAAAGAAATTGTGACATATACACACGATGGAATACTACTCAGCCATAAAAACGAATGAATGAATGGCGTTCATAGCAACTTGGATGAGACTGGAGACTATTATTCTAAGTGAAGTAACTCAGGAATGGAAAACCAAACATCGTTATGTTCTCATAAGTGGGAGCTAAGTTATGAGGATGCAAAGGCATAAGAAAAACACAGTGGACTTTGGGGAGTTGGGGGAAAGGGTAGGAAGGGGGTGAGGGGTAAAAGACTACACACTGGGTGCAGTGTATACTGCTCAAATGATGGATGCACCCAAATCTCACAAATCAGTACCAAAGAACTTACTCATGTAGCCACACCACCTGTTCCCAATAACCTATGGAAATAAAAATAAATAAATAAATAAATAGGCCAGGTGCAGCAGCTCACGCCTGTAATCCCAGCACTTTGGGAGACTGAGGCAGGTGGATCACCTGAGGTCAGGAGTTTGAGACCAGCCTGGTCAACATGGTGAAACCCCGTCTCCACTAAAAATACAAAAATTAGTTGGGCATCGTGGCGGGCACCTATGATCCCAGCTACTCGAGAGGGTCGGGCAGGAGAATCGCTTGAACCTGGGAGGCGGAGGTTGCAGTGAGCCAAGATTACACCCTTACACTCCAGCCTGGGTGACGAGAGCAAAACTCTCTCAAAATTAACTAAATAAAGCAAAACAATCACCACTGGGTGGGCTCAAATACAAGTTAAGAATTCAGAAGGGGGGAAAAAAGAAGCTGCAGAAGGAATGCACACGGGGTGCCTGATAGCAGCTGTTAAATGGGTAACGAGTGGTAGGGAGGAGACTTCGGGCCTGCTCAGGGGTGGCCCAGAGTGGCCCTGCTCAGGGGTGAAAGTCTTTGAATTTCTGCCAAGAGAAAAGTGTTTAAAGCAGCCTTTTAATGACATGAACCTACCTGGCTGGTGGGAAAAGGGCTACTACATTCTGATCATGAGATTTTATGGTTGGGAATGATTTGCCAGGACCTTCTCTAAGCAGAAGAACTCAGGGATTTCATTAAAAAACTGTTGGGAGAAACGTTTAAAATTGAGATGAACGTTTAAGCATCACACGGGGAGTCAGCCGCCAGGGTCTGAGCCCAGCCCCGGTCCCTAGCGTGAGACAGGCACGTACCATGACAGAGGCTGCTCCAACTGTGCCCAGCGGGAGGCGGTAGAGGATGCCTGTTGAACAGCAGAGTGTCACGGGAGTGGAATAATTCAGACTTGAGGGACACGAGCTAGGGAGACACAGCAGGTTCTTGAGCAGAGGAGTGCCTGAGAACAGCAGAGGCTTCTAGAACCTACAATAGCTCAGGAGCCTGAGGGCAAAAAGCTCGTCCCAGAAATAGCAGGAGCAGCACTGCAGGAGGAGCAGGTGCACGGGACATGTCCTGAGCTGCATGGATGGCGAGGGTGATGGACAGACAGGGCAGGGCACAGCAGGCCTTGAGGCAGGGGGAATACAGGGAGAGGCTCCCAGCGGGAGGAGGGGTGAGTTACAAGCAACAGCAAACACCTCTTCCACGCACCCCTACCCCCGCCACTGTAGGTGGCGGGGTACACCTACAGTGCGCAGCGACATTAATTCTGCTCTGACACCGCCCGCTGAAGCAAGCCCTTCAGTTAATCGCCAAGTCCTCCCGGAGTGCCCAGTGCTGAGAACCAGCAAGTGAAGCCTCAGTAACTCAGAATAAAGGGCGACATGGGGAGGACCCATTTACATTAATAAAAATTCTGAACTACAGGAGCCTATTAAGGAGACAAGGTTTTATGACTCTCAAACAAGGCAGGTGGCACTTCAGGAGATGCTGCTTACCACAGGCCTCACCACAGTAGAGAGACAGGAATAATTTTAACAAGTACAAGGATGCCTGCATTTTTGTTTGTTTTTTGTTTTTTTTGAGACAGAGTTTCACTCTTTTTGTCCAGGCTGGAATACAATGGCGTGACCTTGGCTCACTGCAACCTCTGCCTCCCAGGTTCAAGGGATTCTCCTGCCTCTGCCTCCTGGGTAGTTGGGATTACAGGCACCTGCCACCATGCTTGGCTAATTTTTTGTATTTTTACTAGAGACTGGGTTTCACCATTTTGGTCAGGTTGGTCTCGAACTCCTGACCTCAGGTGATCCACCCACCTTGGCCTCCAAAAGTGCTGAGATTACAGGTGTGAGCCACTGCGCCTGGCCGGATGCCTACATATTAATGAGGGTTACAGAAGCCTCTGGAAGCAGCTTGTACTTGTGACATCTTCAGGGGATGGGAAATGCCTTGAAATTTCAGACTACAACTTGGTAGCTGGCACCTGAAATCTGGACGTGACCCACTCGTTTCTGACTTACTCACCTAGGAGCGGAGGACTCACTCCATGAGCGGCCAGAACCAGGAAGGCTACTGGTTTCTGAATGAGGCAAAGCTCGAGTTGAAACATCAAGCAAATTTGGAAATGTGGGCCAATCTAGGTGACTGAAGGAGTCCAAGGAAGCTAATTTTTCCAAAATGCTAAGTAGCTACCTAATACAGATAAACTGATTAAAAATGAGATGTGACTTGTGCTAAAAAATAGAATTCAGGTACTAAAAATTTCCCTTAAAGAGTTATGGGCCGGGCATGGTGGCTCACGCCTGTAATCCCAGCACTTCGGGAGGCCGATGTGGGTGGATCACCTGAGATCAGGAGTTTGAGACCAGCCTGGCCAACATGATGAAACCCCATCTCTACTAATAATACAAAAAAATTAGCCGGGCATGGTGGCACATGCCTGTAATCTCAGCTACTTGGGAGGATGAGGCAGGAGAATCGCTTGAACCCGGGAGGCGGAGGTTGTGGTCGCACCATCGCACTCCAGCCTACGCGACAAGAGCGTAACTCTGTCTCAAAAAAAAAAAGAAAGAGTTATGTCCCCTCAGCGTTGTGATAGCTCTACTGGAGGTGTACACAGGTTAGGGAAAGGCTGCCTGCAGATGGCCAAGCTGTGGGCAGTGGCCCAGCTATCACCCAGAAGGCCATGAGGGGAAAAGCAGCCAAGTCCACCAGAGGCTGATATCCGGGCAGCCGGACTCTCACCACCTCTGCTGACCCATGGGCCCAGGCCAACCATATGGTACATAAAACGCTGGTGCTGAGTAAGAAAAATTCACAGCACTCCTTCTCCCTTCAGTTCATGTGTTGTGCCGCCCAGGAAACCTCTGCCTCTTGGAATTTCTATTAAAAAATATTCCCCAAGGCTGCACACCGTGGCTCGGGCCTATAATCCCAGCACTTTGGGAGGCCGAGGCAGGTGGATCAACTGAAGTCAGGAGTTCGAGACCAGCCTGGCCAAAATGGCAAAATCCTGTCTCTACTAAAAATACAAAAAATTAGCCAGGCGTGGTGGCGAGTGCCTGTAGTCCCAGCTACTCGGGAGGCTGAGGTAGGAGAATTGCTTGAACCCAGGAAGCAGAGGTTGCAGTGAGCCACGATTGCTCCACTGCACTCCAGCCCGGGCAACAGAGCAAGACTCCATCCGCCCCTCAACTCCCCAAAAAGAGGCCGGGCACGGTGGCTCACGCCTGTAATTCCAACACTTTGGGAGGCCAAGGTGGATGGAGTACCTGAGGTCAGGAGTTCAAGACCAGCCTGGCCAACATGGTAAAACCCTGTCTCTACTAAAAACACAAAAATTAGCCAGGAGTGGTGGCACATGCCTGTAATCCCAGCTACTTGGGAGGCTGAGGCAGGAGAATCACTTGAATCTGGGAGGCAGAGGTTGCAGTGAGCCGAGACCATGCCATTGCAGCCTGGGCAACAAGAGCAAAACTTCATCTCAAACATAAATAAATAAATAAATAATAAAGGCTGGGCATGTTGGCTCATGCCTGTAATCCCAGCACTTTAGGAGGCCGAGACGGGCAGATCACGAGGTCAGGAGATCAAGACCATCCTGGCTAACATGGTGAAACCCCGTCTCTACTAAAACATTAAAAAAATCAGCCAGGCGTGGTGGCAGGCGCCTATAGTCCCAGCTACTCGGGAGGCTGAGGCAGGAGAATGGCGTGAACCCAGGAGGTGGAGTTTGCAGTGAGTCAAGATCACACCACTGCACTCCAGCTTGGGCGACAGAGCAAGACTCCATCTCAAAAAAAAAAATAAAAAAAATAAAATAAAATAAAATCCCCCAAAGAAATACCAATAAACAAGAAAACAGTCAAATGTCATACAGTTCCTGCGACCGTAAAGACACTACATTATAAACGCATTTTTTGTCGATGTTATTGGTTGGATAAATTCTATTCAAACTACAACGTCTGTCACTGCAGCTGTGTCAGCCTCGGCCCAGACGTCAGCAGTGACAGGACACTCACCACCTTCTCAGGAAGTTCACTTCATCTTGTCTCGGGAATGACTGCTAAAATGTTCTTCCTCTCGCCAAGACTAAAATCCACCTCTATTAACACTGTCCATCCTTAACTCTAACCCTGTGGCTGTTGAAAATCAGCCTGGTGTGGAAGGAAAGGCATAAGACTTGGAGTTAGAAAGGCATGAATTTAAGTCCCTAGAGCAGAATGAGTGAGCATCCTGTAGCCAGACTACCTGAAGAGCCTCTGGCACCTGTCTCAACCCTGTATCTCCATTTCTTATCTTGTAAAATATAGACAACAACAGCACCTTCCTCACAGAGAGCACAGAAGGACTTAGTGAGATAATGCAGTCAATTGCCCAGCATGGTACCTGGCATATGATTGGTATGCAGTAAATGTTCACAGCCATCATTACAGTGTAAAGGGTGTGTTAATAATTCTACATTTTGCTGGGTGTGGTGGGTCATGCCTGCAATCCCAGCACTTTGAGAGGCTGACGAGGGTGGATCATTTGAGGCCAGGAGTTCAAGACCAGGCTGGGCAACATGACAAAACCCCATCTCTACTAAAAATACAAAAATTAGCTGGGTGTGGTGATATGCACCTTTAGTCCCAGCTATTTGGGAGATTGAGGCAGGAGAATCACTTGAGTCTGGGAGACGGAAGCTGCAGTGAGCCAAGATCGTGCCATTGCACCCCAGCCTGGGCAACAGGAATGAAACCCTGTCTCAAGGAAAAAGAAAGAAAAAAGAAAAATTCTACATTTCACATAGTTTTACAAATGCCATACTATCCTGGTGTCATAAAACATCTGTCCTATGAAGTATGTTAATATTCTGCTGACACATAGTGTAATTAGTAAAACCCAAGCTGGCCGGGCGCGGTGGCTCACCTCCCAAAGTGCTGGGAATTACACGGCCT